ACTTTTGTATAATCTTCATCACTATTATGAGATATAAAATGTATTTATCAAATCTGTAATCATTATGCCAAAAAATCTGAATTACTGTAATATTTTGCATATTGTTAAAACTGTAACTTTAATTGTAAAAAAAAATTTTAAAAAAAAATTCCATCTTAATCAGAATCAGAGTAAAGAATAATATTACCCTGAAGCCTCGGGAGATGGTTCAGTTGATAAAGGACTTGCTTTGCCAGCACAAAAAACTGAGTTCTGTCCACAGAATCCATGTAAAATGCCAGGTGTGGTGGCATGCATTTACAGTCCCAGCACTGAGGAAGTGAGACAGGTGAGTCCCTGAGGCCAGCCTAGCCTATCTGTATTTGGCAAGCTCCAGACTCTGAGAGGCCCTGTCTCACAGAAAGGTGGTCCTCTGGCCTCCACATGCATGTGCATTTATACCTGCACAGCACAAACATGCAGGTAGGACTCCATGTTAAACAGCATACACAGAGCATAGGAAGTTTTGTCTCATGTTCTGGTTAGCAAAGACATAGCTCTTATGTTAACTCATCAGCAAGCCTTCTGGCAGTTACAGGCTCACTTTCCACCCTAATCAGCACAATATTAGGTAAGGTTGCCTGGATGACTCAGGTCTTATCTATCTAGGAACCACCAGCAGCAGCAGCACCTCTTTCCGAGAAACATGTCGGGGAGGATACAGGAGATCCAGGAGATACAGGGTGCTGAAAACTGCCTTGACAGCCCAATTTTGCCTTTACTTTTTTAGTCTTTTAAAAATTTATTTATTATTATTTATACACATGCGGTTGTCTGCTTGCCAAGGCACAGTGTGGCTTCAAAGGATAACTTTGAAGAGTCGTTTCTCTCAGACCATGTCAATCCTGGTCCTCGAACTCAGGTTTGGGTGCCTCTGCCCGGTGCCTCTGCCTGGTGAGCCATCTCTCGGGCCTACCGTTTCTGAAACCAGAATCTAAGAGTCCCCAAACTGAGGTTAATCAAATGTTTCAGTAGAATGGGGTTCAAATCGGTCAAGCTCATCCAAACTTTTGTAAGTAACGAACAAGCTCCGTTAAAAATGATCACTTCTTTCCTTTTGTGACTTGGTAAATCACAAAGAATGAAGCTTTCCCTGATTTCTGCATGCTGCTGTGTTACCCCGTCATCAGAGGGAGAAACGAGCTGTGTAATTACCATTGGAGACATGAATCATCACTTGCGGGACTCAGACCTGCAACTCTATAAAAGGAGCTCGGGGTCCAAGTGCAAACGTGCACTGTCTGCTATCCCCGGGGCTGATATAATTACCGAGCCACAGAGAGGAGATGAAGGTGCTCCCTGCCTCTGGCCTCGCTGTCCTCCTCGTCACAGCTTTGAAGTTTGCCACTGCAGCCCCCACCCTATTTGCAGCCACCCTTAGGAGCTCGAGGAACAACCACCACCTCGCACAGGTTTGTGACTCTCTTCCTCCTCCTGACCGAGAACACCTAACAGGGCATAAGAAAGTAAGCAAAAATCTACTATTTTTAACTGCTTTATAAATCCACAGAACTCTGATCGACAGTACCATCTAGTTTTAACGCCTGGTGTATATTAGGTGCACATGTTGTATGACTGAATAAATGAGTGAATAAATATCTGGCTAGGCATCTTGCTTTCTGCAGAATTTGAGGAGTATTATACAACAACATACAAAATCAAAAAAAAAGTATGAGAGGGAAAATAAGAACAAACATTCAAGACTCCCATGCTGTAGGCAAGCTATGGTTTTAAAATTAAGTGCCAAGGAATCACAACTAAAGGATTTCTTTGTTCATGTTTTTTGAAAAATGTTCATGCTCCAGACACCCTTGATGAGAACTTAAAATAGAACACACTTTTCTATGTGAAAACCCACTCTTTTGAAGGTTTACCCACCCCCCAAAGCATATCCTTCTGCAACCCTTAGTTACTCAAACTTTCTTTCTTTTCCTCTTTTAAGATCTCTCCCACCTGACTGTTATACAAAGAATCAAATACAACTAATCATATTAGAATTCTGTAAAGACTACAATGGCTGATATAATCACAAGTTTGGAGAAGTTCCTTAGAGGAAGGTGGGGGAATCCATAACTTGCAGAAACCAATTTCTAATGATGGAATTGCCAGCCTTAGTGAAGGGTGGCGGAGATGTGTCTCAAGGTCTCTCTCAGGAGTCTGATAAAATGACATCATGCCTGAATTCCACCTCTACCGGAGGGGTTTCTTCCTCTTTGTCCAACTGCACCTATGGCCAGCTTGGACCTGCACACTGGAGAGCTGACTGTCACCTGCGCACACTGGCCTGTCCTTACCAATTGTTTTTATCACTCATCCATTCCAATTGATCAGTTGTCTTGCAACACAAGAGAACGCACTGAACATTTTCAATAGCAATCCTGCACATAGACAAGCAAGTTTAATTCAACAGTAGATGTCCACCTGAGTCAAACTTTCTTTGACTGGAGGCCACAAGAAGATGAGCTAAATTCAAACTGTCAATTCTGAAATTAGAAACTGCATCTTACCGCACTACCTAGTTCTGTGTCCTTTCTCACTGAGTATAATTTTTCCCCATCCAGACTCATGCTACTCTGATTCAGAAACTATAATGTTGTGACACCCCCTCCTGACACACACACAGGAGGGCTATGCTCAGGCCAAAATAGATCTAAACCAGTGGGAGACTCTGATTCTCACCCAGGCTTTGAACAAACATCACTCCACCAGCCAAACCTGGCCCTGCTGTTAGATTGCAAGCTCTTGTGCTACAGTGGTAGAATATAGTCTGTAGTAGCAAAATATTGATCATAGCCCTTTACAGAAAGAACACACTGACCCCAGTCAGAAAGTCTTGATGAAGGCATCCTTGTTAGTATGACCAATTGGGGGCCGGCTGGTGTGGCTATGCGGTTCTGGGGACCATTAGAGAGCCCTGGCTTCTTCTCTCTAATAAGCTAGTTCTCTTGCAGCACAGGAGAACGCACTGAACATTTTCAATAGCAGCCCAGCATACAAACAAGTTCAGTGCAACAGTAGATGGCTACATGAGTTGAACTTTCTTTGACGAAAGCCCACATGTAGATGAACTTAATCCTCAGTCCTATTATGCTTTCAGGAGCAGGGAAACAAGCTTGCCCACGCCTCATGCCCTGGCGCACAGAACCTTCTGCCTGCAGGGGTCCCAGGCATCAGCTCTAGGAAGAGCATCCTCTTTAGGAGGCTACAAAGATAAGGGCAGACCTGATGTGTCCATTCCAGAAACTAGAAAGAATATATACATACAAGTTTTGTAGTTTGTAAAAATACACACCAGCCTTGTAGCTTATAAAATCACAAATGCTAATAAACAGTTTTATTCAGTTATTGAATGCCGCCTGGCCAGTGTGTGCTGGAAGCAGGGACCAAGTCGAGTCTCTGCTCTGTGGCCCTGACGGGGATGTCGGGTAGGTGGGAGAGGGCAGAGAGCAGGCAAACAAGCAAGGTGACACGTGCATAAGCTTAGCTCAGAAAGTGGGAAAGAGCAAAGTTAGACAGTGACTGGGACTATGGCAGTAGTCCGGGAAAGCCTCTCAAAGGAGGTCACACCTGGGATAAACCTGAGCTGTAGAAAGAGTCTACCCTGCGAAAGCCTAGACAGGGCAGGAGCAGAAGCAGCCCCAAGTTCAGGAGGCCGGTGGTGGAGTGTGGGGTATACTCAGCAGCCCCAAGTGGCTGGAGCTGAGAGACCATGGGAAGAGGTCACTGGGTCAGCCCAGAAGCACCTTCTGAGCTGCTCTCTTCTTTCTGAATCACTGACTAAGATAGAATGACACCAGACACTTCTCTCCCCAAACCCACAGACATAAACATCTGCACTTGAAAATATAAACAGGCTCTTAGTCGATTTCTTAAATGTCTAGTTGCATCTTTAAATTCTAATTTGCTCATCTGCATAAGGGCTTTGAAAGTGATAGATAGAATGGCCATGTCTGTGGGGCATTTTCTTGATTGTTGAGTGATGTGGAAGGGCCCAGCCCACTGTGGGTACTACCACCCCTGGGCAGGTGGGCCTGTATTGTATAAGAAAGCAGGCTGAGCACAGGCCAGAGGAGCAAGTCAATAAGCAGCATTCCTCCATTGTCTGTGTTCCAAGTTCCTGCCCTGAGTTCCTGCCTTGGCTTTCCTTGATGATGATGTAAGCCAAATAAACCCTTTCCTAACCCCTTCAGAAAAGAAAATGATAGAATGGGGTAGGGATATGGTGCAGTGGGAGACCCCTTACCTAGCATGTGGGAGGCCCTGGATTCAATCGTCAGCAACACACACACATACACACACACACACACACACACACACACACACAGAGGACAAATGATGGAATGATGATCAAATACCTACCTATCCCCCAATTTGGGGTTTATTCTATTCCCTAATTTAGGGTTTATTCTAGGACTTTGTTTTTAAAATAGTACAGCACTTCTTGGTTTATGACGGTGTTATGTCTTGATAACCTCATTATGGGTTAAAAATATCATGAGTCAAAAATTTCCTTCCTCTAGCCTACCAACTGTCATTATTTAACGATGCAGCACACGCTGTTGTCTAGCCTAGATACTCTGTGGTTGGAAGCTGTGGTTCATGGTTGTGGCTCAGGATCAGGAAAGAGTGTCCTACCATATATTGCTAGCTTGGGGGAAAAAAATCAAGAGTCAAATTTTGAAGTGTGCTTTGCATTGAACAAGTATTATTTTCACACCGTTACACAGTAGAAAGACATAAATCAGACCATCGTAATTCAGGAACCAACTGGTAGTGTCGACATAGCATTTAAAGCAGGCTTTTAAATTGTCTCTAAAATATAAATTTTTATTGAGATGTATAGAGTTTGGAACTAGACAAGTGTTTGATTGTTATGTTACTCTAGCTACATGTTTTTATTTGTGAGTTCATTACAATAAAGTGATTTTTTACATTAAAAATACCTTTAAATGGTATCAGTTTTCATTTACTAGATGATTATGAAAAACAAAACCTTTCACACACAAACTCCTAAGTTCCGGAATCATTACTACCATTTTATTTTCTTTGATAAAGATTTTTTAAATTGTTGCTGTCTTTAAATTTTGGTTCCTACTCTTTTCACTGACTATTGTGCCGTTTAAAAAGTTTGACTTTGTGCTATTTTCATAAATATCTTTTTAAAGAGTCACAAATAGAGAAGACTTGGTGGTTAAGAGCACTTACTGCTCTTACAAAGGACCCTAGTTTGGGACACAGCACCCACATGGCAGCTCACAACTGCTTATAATTCCAGGGGATCTGATGCCCTCTTCTGGCCTCCATGGGCACTGCACACACATAGTGCACACACATACACTCAGACACACACACACACACACACACACACACACACACACACACACACACATAAATAAAAATTTTATTATCAAAAGGGTCACAAAGATTCCAGAATATAAGTAAGTTATCATTTACTTACCCATTTCTTGTGTTAGGGAAACACATGAACAGTACATCTACAGGCATCTTTGTACATCAGGCTAATGAAAAGAATTACTTTTTTTCAGGTTCTATAGGTGACATTTGTGAATAAACGACCATAATTTAAAGACTTGATACATTTGAAAGTATTTCCTATTGATTCTTGCACTGGTATGATCAGTAGCTAAGACAGATACTAAGAAAGCTGAAACTAAAAGACGTCAAAAGGAACTGGTCCAGCTTGTTTGTGATGCAGCCTGGACTGGAGCCTGTGATTTTTCAGATAGTACCACTAAGTTATTACAAATCTATTTCAATGACTCTTAGGATAAAAGAAATGTTAAAGAAAGAAAACCTGGTCGACTACTCAGACACTTACACCTGAGTTTTAGCTGACTATCAGGAGAAGTGTTACTAAATGTACTAAGGCATTGGGAGGGAGGCCCAGCCACCACTCTGCAGAGACAGACTCTCTCGGCATTCACTATTTTTATATGTCAAACACTGGAAAAGAAGTAGAGGGAAGACCACCTGATAATTAATGCTAAAACACTGACATTTTAACAGCAAGGGAGTTGGAGAAGGGAAGGGACAACTGGGAAGACTTTGGCGAGTCCTAAAATCTTTGACCAAGGGACAGCATAAAAGTTGAGCCAACTTCATACAAGTGGTAGACTATTTATAACACAGGCACAGTTCTAAGTACCTCTAAGTGCCCAGTGAAGCATGTTGACTCCCTGTGGGTGCTGGGATTTGATCCCAGGTCTTCTGCAAGAGCAGCCAGTGCTGAACCATCTCTCCAGTGAAACATCTTGACTCCAAGGCCTTTTCAACAATTCTGGCAAGGATGTTCCCACAATGTTGGACTCTCGGTAACAGAATATCTGATAATCCTTAAAAGAGGCCCATTTTCATACTTTGCCTAAGGAAAACATGAAGTCACTATCTGCTGTAAGTCCAGACCTGTGACAGGGAGTATGTCTGTTGTTCACAGTCTAAGAGGAGTGACCAGGCCACTGAGCAGATGAGATCAACAGGAAACTGGGGGTTTCTAGTACAAGGTAGCAGGTGCTTTACCCACAGTGAGCCGTATTCTGTGAGACTGAGAGAGGGAGCAACTAATGGGCATCACTGCAGTGACAAGGTGATAACCTTTACTAAGTGGGAATACATTCTAATTTCATTTCATTAAACTATGAAGCCCTATCTACCAAGTTCAGTCTTCAACTTTCTGAATTGTAGATTTGGTATCTTGTCCATATTTTAAAGGGTAGAAAACATTGTTATAAAAATCATCTAGATTCATAGCAGAAAACTTATAAAGATTATAACTAAAAAAGAAATCCTCCAAGTTCTCCTGTCACTATGTGAACACTGCTAAAACCTTAGTCTGTATCTTTCAAATGAACTCCTGTGGTTCAGGCTTTGGATAAGGCCGGTGAGATCCTGGTTTTGTTTTGTTTGGGCTTTTTTAACTTTTCATTTATTCTTTGAGAACTTTATACATGCATTCAATGCGTTTCTATCACATTCACCCTCCCCCTCCGACTCTTCCCAATCCCCCATGCACTCCTTCTACATGTTTTCTTTTTTTTTTTAATAACCCACTGAGTCCCATTAGTACTGCCCATATACACATGGGTGTGGGGCATCCACGAGAGCACGGTTGACCTACAGGGACCACACCCCTAAAGAAATTGACTAGGGTGGTGGTTCATGTGTCCCTCCCCCTTAAGACCTTGTTATCATATAAAATTTTAAGATTTTGATTTATCATGGATTTTCTGCATTGATTGTGGAGTATTTGCCCAGTGTTTATACAGATGGATGATCTATGTTGATTACTGAGATTTTAATAATCCTCTCTTGCCCTCTACCAGCTTTTTTTGTTACTCTGCATCACTTTAATATGGTGAATATGTTTTTACCTAATTCACCATAAATGTCCTCCCTTTCTGATCATAGTTTATGGAGCAGAGGTTAGAATGAACACAGCAGCACTCTAACAAAGGAATAAACTCACAAAACTGAAACAGAGTATCGATCTTAGACCCGCAGTTTAACCCTGGGGAGCATAACTCAGACATGACTGAACATTCGCCCTTACAGCATCAGCTGCACAAACAGGAAGGGCATTCACACACATGTCCTTTCATCACCTGCTGCATGTGTTTTACTTATAAAATTGCTGAAAAAGATTTTTTTTCTCTGCATATTGTCCTTATATTGAGAACATTCTCTATGCCATTGAATATTTATTTTTAGAAGCGTAATCTTAGTAGAGACCTAGTTTTGTTCACATGAATCTATAATAATATCTCTAACAAAGCTCCTGATGTGCGTGGGGATAAGGCTGAATGCTAGAACACTTGTTTCACATGTAAACCACTTCCATTTCATTATATTATATATAATTAAATATATGGTTGATGTAGAGATAAATAATATAACTGGTAGTTAATAAATAAGGAACTCTAAAGTATAAGTAAAAATTATGTATGTGATAAAAATGCATCTAAATTTTTAGCAGTTCTTTGGTTGTTTTCCTGAGACAGCTGTGCAGGTGAAATTCCCAAGCCAAGCAGGGTCCCAACCCTGTGTTTACACAGCCCTACCCCACTTAATTCACCTATTCCCAATCCCATGTCACAGGAAAGTGTTTTTGAACAATGTATCCTAAATCGTTTGACATCTGTATGTGAAGATGACTCCTGATAATTGGGGAGGAGGTTAATTCATTTATTCTTTGAGAAAGTCATACATGTATGCAATGTATTTTGATCATATTCGTTCCTGACTCCAACTGCTCCCAGATCACCCCATACATCCCCTCCCAATTTCATTACCTGTTTTTTAGTTTTCTTAAAAAGATAACCTACTGGATTTTAATTAGTACCACCCATATGCAAATGGGTATGGGGTGGAATTGGAGTTTGATCAAGCTCCATGCCCCTAAGAAAACTCTCCCTCCCCTGGCAGCATCAGCTGTCAGTAGCTCCTCAGTTAGGGGTAGAGACTCTTGAGCCCCAACCCCCTTCATGTTAGAATGTTGCCTGGATTTGTCTTGTGTAGACACTTCGTCTGCTATGAGTTCATGAGTGCAGTGGCCCTGTAATGTCTAGAAGACATTGTTTGGTCCCTGTCTTCTCTGATCTTTCTACCCCCTCTTCTGTGATGTTCCCTGAGCCTCGGGGGATGGGGAAATGTGAAAAGCCTAACAATTTGTGTCTCATTTTATTTGCCTCAAGAGAGCCTGTTTCAGGAAGCCCATCCTATTAAAACAAAGGTGACACCACAGCACACCTGAACCAACTAGTATCTTCAGCCTGAACAGATTAGCTTCTGTCCTTGTGTCTAGTGAAAGGCCGGGGCATAAATCCTCTTCAAGGAGAAAAAAATACTCATGTTAAGTGAAAATATTACTGATAACTACTTAAGGAAACTAGATAGTCTTTGTCTTGAAAGCTGAGTGAAGAACTTTGGTGACAGTACTGAGTCCAGGGGAAAATGCTCACATCATTTGCCTTCTGTTCCTTTTTTGTTAAAAAATAAAGTAGCAGTACACATCTATTAGATTGATTATAGGAAATTTGTAAAGAGCATGGGGACAAGGGCTAAGGAGATGGCTCGGTGAGTAAAGTGCCTACCATACAAGCAAGGGGGCCTGAGTTCAGATCCCCAACACCCATGCCTGTAACCCCAGTCATAGGGGGAAGGGGCAGAGGCCGGTGGGTCCCAAAGGCTTGCTGTCCAGCAAGCCTAACAGAAACAGCAAACTCCATGTTCAGTGAGAGATGCTATCCCCCAAAATAAGGTAGAGGGGTTGAAGAGATTGCTCAGTGGTTAAGAGCACTGAAAGCTCAGTTTCCAGCACCCACGAGGCGACTAACAACAGTCTATAACTCCAGTTCGAGGGGACCTGACACCCTCTTCCGGCTTCCATGGGCATTGTATGACACAGGTGCACTTACACGCAGGCAAACACACCAACATAAAGTAAAATAAATAAATTTAAAACAAATAAAAATAAGATAATCTGGAGAAGTGGTTAAGGATGATCTATCAGCATCAATCTCTGTCCTCCACATGCACCTACATAAACAAACATACACACACACACCACATACACATACGGAAATAAATACAGATAGCATAAGAAAAATAAAATTCTACAAGCCTTAGTAAAATTCCATCATTAATAATTCGAGTTTTTTTTAAATGAGAATATACACCTTATTTTCATTTTATGTGTATGAGTGTTTTGCCCACATGCATGCAAGTGCGCCTGTGCATGCAATGCCTGTGGAGGGCAGCAAAGGGCATTGGATCCCCTGGAAATGGAGTTACAGATGGTTATGACCCACATGTGGGTGCTGATAATAGAACCTGGGTCCTCTGGAAGAGCAACCAGTGCTCCTTACCACTGAGCCATCTCTCCAGCCCACACACACCTTACTTTTATACTAAGAATATTGTCCCCACTCTCACCTGAGCACAAGTGTTTCCCAACCACACCATGGATGTGTCAACCTGCCCCTCCCTTTCAGGCATACCTGGACAAGTATTATACGAAGAACGGAGTCCACCAGGCTGGAGAGATGGTGGCAAGAGGAGGCAATTCCATGGTCAAGAAGATTAAGGAGCTGCAAACATTCTTTGGCCTTCAAGTCACCGGGAAGTTGGACCAGAACACAATGGATGTGATCAAGAGGCCTCGCTGTGGAGTTCCTGATGTGGCTAACTACCGTCTCTTCCCAGGTGAACCCAAATGGAAAAAAAATATTTTGACATACAGGTAATGAGATTGAGTCTTTCCAAATTGAAAGAGAAGCACATACCTCCCCTTTTCTTTTCAAGCTATCTAAAGCGTCTTCCTTCTGATCTGTATGAAGGTCATAATTCCCCACAACTGTAAGAACCTTGCAAGATTCACTTGAAAAAAAAAAAAAAAAACACCTCAGGATTAGTGAAACTGACAA